CTTCCCCGCAATAAATTGTTCGTCTGCCCAAAAACCCTTTTCCCTCCATCATATCCCAAAAAACCCAGCAATCGTCGCCGATCAACTTTCTCGACGCTTTTTTTCCTCCATCATATCCCCCGTTTGGTTGAGGTCGAAGACTTGGTTGTCCGGTTAGGAGGTAATTCCGGTCGATTTCACCATTTACTTCTTTTTTGTCGACCCGCGTCATGGCGATTGTAATCTCTTTGACAACCATTCTTCTCCCCTAACGGCCCTGACTCCTTGCTTTTGTCTTTTCTCCGGCGTCTTCCCCCTTCTTTGTTGATCATGTTTCTAGATCTAGGTGTATCCTGCTTTAATCTTAGGGGTCGTTTGGATGAAACATTGTGATGAATCAATTGTACTCAATTGGCTCATTATGAGGTAATTGGGCCAAATTGACCCATTTGGCTACAAAAAAAGGAAACGAAACAATCTGGGCCGGGGAAATGAGAATTGCTCCGTTAGGGGTCAATTGAAAAAACCTGGGGTGGGGGGAGGGAATTTCAATTGACGCAATTTTTGTCTCCTCTTCCCAATTCTGCCCTCTCTCTCCAGAAACAAACCACTCTATTCTTCTTCTCTTCCCTTTCTCTTTCCTTTCTTTTTCTCTGCAACTGCGTTGTCATTCCTCATTTTTTCTCTGCAACTACGCTCTCATTCCTCCTCTTCTTCTCTTTCTTGTGTATCTATGGCGGACAGAGGGAAGAAGAATCAAGGTTATGATGGTCGCCGGCGGACAAAGGGAGGAATAGAGAAACTCTGTTGCCGGATTTGCAAAGAGGTTGTCGCCGTCCAGCCATCATCGTAGAGTCAAAGGAGTGAGTTCTCGGGGACCAGCCGGTGGGTCGATTGACTCCGCGCAAAGGGATTTTGACGCATGTGTGTAAGTAGTGGGTCGATTGACTCGATCCTCGCCAGGCTCAAACGACGGCGAGATTTGTTGGAGTTCCTCACCGGCAGTCCAGCCTCTGATTCAAGGACCGAGAAGTCTCAATCCTTCAAATTGCGTCCGTCAACTTCAAATCCGGTCGTCTCTGCTCTGAACGCCCAATTTCATTTGTGCCCTAGACCCCTAATTTCTCACGGGGTTAGAGTCAAATTCCAGAAACGGGAAACAGAAAGGTTAAGGTTTTGGATTGCAACGGCTGAAGTTTCTCAAAAAGTTCTTCAGATTCCCTCTACTCTTCCAGCTTGGGTTAAGGTTTTGGATGTTCTGGTTTACAGGGATATTGGTTGTGTGATTCGGAAAAATCCGATTGCTTGATAGGGAGGGTTCTTTGGATTGGTTTTGACATTTGGTTAGTTGCAAAAACCACTTTTTTTATTATGTTTCGATTTCATTTGTGGGCATTATGAAATCCAGAAAGTGTTCATTTTGTAAATGAAGAACTAAACAAAAACAAACCCAGAAACAAAAACTTGCAGAAGGGTATATTGGTATTTCCTCGGAAATGGCTTATCTGCATTTCTCCATCTCAAAGTCCATCCCAAACGACACATTCTTGGCAAATTTCCTCATCATATTGACTCATTTTCTAAAACGAGTCTTTTGGTGCAAATTGACTCGTTTTGAGAATGATCCATCCAAACGACCCCTTAGTCATAACTAGTAAAAAAGAACTTGTTCTTTCAATGCATTGTCGGACATCCTTCCGCCGTCGTCCCTTCTTGCTGCCATGCAAACCATCGTAGGAGAGGTATCTTTAATTGTAGCCTAATAGTGGTAGTTTAATTCAATGGTACAACTGGTACATACAAGATGTAGTGGTACTTTACTAGGATGGTACCACTTGTACCAGTTCCAGTGGTAGTTTATTAGTCGTAGCATTAATATATGTGTACCGGTGAATTTTGGTCCGACAGCAGTGGGCTTAAAATGATTCATTGTTACTGGGAGTGGTAGTCGAAGTTACTTTAGATGACCAGCTTTTGTTTTCAATTGGTACCGGTTCTAGTGGTAGTTGTGTTACTGGTACCAACTACCAATTACATTGGTATACTAATAGTGGTAGTTTAATGGAATGGTTTCGCTGATTTTAGTTGTAGTGGTACTAGTACAGTAGTACCAATTGATTTTTACCAGTACCACTGAAGCAATACTAGTACATACTGATTGGTACCAATACTCCTAAAATGTTTTAGTGTTCCTACTGGTATTCTTCTAATGGTTTTTCTATTGGAAGCAGTTTAATTATTGTACCAATGTAATTTTTTTTATGATAGCAGGAATGGTGAGAACAAAGACTACACATTATACATCAACGACAACAAATCAACCTGTTGGGTATGCTTCTAGGCAGGTTGTCATCGTGGAGGGGAGTTATCTGATTCTCGTTCTGGCCTTATTAAGAAGCGACCACGTGACGATTTAAGCAAGAGTCCCTGCATTTACCGACCCATCAATAGTTCTTTTCCAGATGTTGAGGAGTATGATGATTGTTTCTGTATGTTTAGAAGTATGAACAATGTTCACCAATGATATTGGACAAAGCAGTGGCTCGGACAAAGTTAGTGGCAATGATATTTCCAAGACGTTGAGGGCATTTGTTGACCTTTAGTTATGTTGCTATCTTTAATGTGAATAAATGATATTGGACAAAGTGGTGGCAACTTACAGTAGTACAATTGGTTTTGTGTTCCATTGTCAATTTTCAATACAACTCGCACTAGTACATTTACTAAGTACAAGTAGACTTGGTCTCCAGTGGTATAAAAAACACTTCAGTGATACAATGGACTCGTACAACTAGCTATCGAGTGGTAGAGAGTTACATGAACCACTTCACTTGTACAAGTGTAAATATAGTGGTACATGTACCAGTTCAATGATGTAAGTACCAGTAACTATATTTTTTACCAAAATTGAAATGAAACATCTAACTAGTACTTGTGAATTCATGATTTTTTACAGCACTTTAAATGGTCGTCCACTGGTAGACAACAAATGATCAAAGATAACAAAACCTCATCAGTGTAACGAAACATCTTTCACACGAAACAAAATTAACTGTATCTTCTGACAGGTTGCCACATTTCTACCAAAATTGAAATGAAACATCTAACAAAACAAACGACCAACAAGATTTTGCCAATGCTTTTTTTCCTCTTGATGTGAGCTTGTTATTCAGTAGTATTCTTGCTTGCTCGCTTTCTATTTCCCGAATCGACATTAGCCTCTTCTTATATATTCTCTTGTCATGCCACTTCTTCATTTTGATCCAATAGGAGCTGGAACGATAGTTGATACACCACCTGTATTTAAAAAGAAGATGCATTAGAGGTCATACTATTTAACTTTTACAAGTAGGCTACAACCACGACGTACCTGGTACCAGTAGCTACTACCACTAGGCAACAAATATCACCAAAACTAGTCAACAAATATCGTCAATTGTACCACAAAGTGTCTACCACTAGATGACTACCACTAGGTGTCTACTACTAGTAATTTACTACCACTAGGCGACTACCGCTAGATGACTACCACTAGCAATGTACTACCACTAGCTAACTTGAACCAGAAATACTAGTACATTTTGGTCGTCGCATAAGGTGTACCACTAAAAAAACACTACCCATTCAACGGAAGTCGTAACGGCACTAGTTAACCCTAGCGAGATTGTTGGCGTCGACGACATTCTCTGTGCCGTCATCATCATCTTCAACGTATTCGTCTGGTTGCGGCACGAAATCTTTGTTGTTCTCCACGTTTAGGCCAAGAAATTCACGAGCATTGAATCATCATCGTTGTCGATATGTATAAAGTTTAAGTGATCGTCGTCGTTGTCCGCCTTTCTCACGTTGTTGAATCCTTCGTCGTTGTCCAGCTACTCCGCGTCGACAACAACGCCGTCCTCGGCAAAACACTCAAATCTTTCTTATTTTAGGGATCGCTCCGCGGCCATCGTGGAAAGGTGTTTCCGACGTTCTATAACTACATTTGAATGGTAGTTTTTTTTCAATGAAGCAGAAGCAATGAGCAAGCCAAGAGATGGGGAGGGAGAGATTTTTTTAATGAAGTTGCAGAGATGGGAAGACCAAGTGACGGGAGAGATCCATCCCACCAATCACGCCCAATAACCGTTTCCAATACAATTACATTTAATATTTCATTTTCTTTCCTTTTATTTATTATATAAAGCATTCCCAAAACACCCTTTGCTTAATAATAACCGTGGGATGGAAAAGGAAGATTAGTGGCTGGGAAGTGGGAAGCGAAAATCACAACCCCTATAGAGGTAGTGACGCTATCCCACCCCGAGGACCCTGCGGGGATTTATATGATGAAGTCCAGATATAAATAAGTAGATCGCATGTGATGGTAAAGTACGAGCTGTGGATGCACAACGATTAATGCAGTACAAGGTGCAACGAGTAGAAGAAATTAGTCAAGTATTACATATGAGATATTTGGATTTTTGTGTCCTATAATATGCTAAGCTGGAATGCTCGCATGGTAGGGGTGGGCATACGATTCGGTAAAGGTTCGGAATTTGGAAGAGAAAATGGCTTATTTCGGAAACCAGTATCCTTTCGATTGAACCAAATTTTCGAATTCCAAACCGAATTATTATAATTGCAAGCTCCAAATGGTGGGTTTTTATGTTTATACTTATTATGAGACTTAAATATTTGAATCATGTTAGTATTTTATGACATATGTGTTGAAATGTTTGATTTTATCATTGATGATGCATATTTATTGTTTACATTAGGGGTGAAAAATAATTTAAAAGTGAGAAGATACAAGCTAACCTCACAAGTTCGGTTTTGTATGAAAACCGAACCGAATCAAATTATAATTTGGTTTGAACCGACCAAACCGAATTATAATTCGGTTCGACGTTTGATAGAATTCGGGGACCCGATACGCATAATTTCTGTTCGATTTGAACCAAACTGACGAATGCCCCACCCTACGCAGCGGAAAAGTACAATATGGTACCTACCATTAAATTTAGTAACGGAAAATATAACGACACGGTATGTGGCGCAATTAACCTATCTCCGGCAATCTCTCTCTTGCAAATTGCGTTTGCTCAGTTTCGAGGAGTTGCTGCGATAACAGCGACGATCATGGATGGCAAGCTGCCGCGCTCCTCCCGCAAGCGCCCTCGCAACGATGAGTTTGAAGATGAGGAATCGACGAAACGCTCCATGTGCGCCACAGCCCCGCTCCCTCCCGTTTCTCCTGACCTTGATTTCCTCTAGGGTTTACCCCTTCGTTGCACTTTTTACTTTCTGTTGATGGCGATTTCGCGATTTTTTTTCAGGCAGCAGAAGAAAGTAAGGTTCCCGAAAGGTAAGAAAGTGAAGCCAGGGGATGATTCCGGCACCGTCCCCGCAGCAGTTGGTCCTGAAAGGGTTGGACCTCAAGACAACCTCGCCGACGACGCTGACGCTCGACTCGCTGCCACCGAGCGTGCGAAGCGACGTAACCAGATCACCGCTGAACTGTTTGACGGCGAAGTCAATGACGTCTCTGCAGCCGAGGTCACTTATGAGGTTTGCTTACTTCCATTTTTCATTTTTTTGTTTTGTAAATCTGAATAAGATATGAATCTCCAAATCTTGGGCATTCTACGAAACTTTTGCTGGTTGGGAAATGGCAAAAGATTGAAAGCATACCAGGGTTACCTACTGCAGTAAAATAAAATTGGGCTGCTTGTGCCTTGTTAAGTTTGAAAGTAGCTTACATCTCAAGTGGTCAGGAGGTGATTTATAGTATAGTAATCTGGTGCTGCTGGTGGGTCAGACATGCTATATATGGCACTATGCTTACAGTATCAGTATTTGTGCGGTGTGCTGTTTCTTTAAGGACCGTATTTTGTTCCCGTTAAGTACATATACACGATGGATAAGAGTTTCTGGTTGGAGTATGGTGATGCAATTGCATGACTGGGATCGGGAACTTCCAGGAAAAAGAAAAGAAGAGAAAAGCGTGACTGGGTTCTCCATTGACAGGATAATGGCATTTTTGTTGATGATGGGGATCAAATTGAGCCATTTAATCTTGACGAAGAGTGAAGAATGTAAATTTGATGCTCAAGGAAATTTGGTTGAATATGTCGATGGAAATGACTCTAAGGTAAACAATCTCTTTTCTCTGTTGACAGGATAATGACAGTTTTGTTGATGATGGGGTTCAAATGGAACCATTTAATCTTGACAGAGAGAGGGAAGAAGGTTATTTTGATGCTCAGGGAAATTTTGTTGAATATGTCAATGAGAATGATTTCAAGGTAAACTATCTCTTTTCTCTGAAGCTGGTTGCTCTTTTCAACTAAAAGGAAATTGCTTATCATTTTTGTATTTTTTCAACTCATAGTACTTTTTGGGATTTCGTTGCAGGATCCATGGCTTGATACTGCTGAAGTTGATACAAGATATGCTAATTCCAAGGTAGCTGAAGACAATGACGAAAGTGAAGCCCCTGAAATGTCTTCTGATGAGACTGGACAGATAAAGAGGCGAATTGCAGATTTGCTTGAACCAGGGGAAACGGTTAGTTCTCGGTTGTCGATTCGCTTTTTATGATTAGATTTATTGCAATGTTGGAAGATTACAGTTGACACATCTGTTTATTCCATAAATTTCAATCATTTATCAAGAGCAGCGATAGGATAATATTCTCTGTGCATGGACTCCCTGGTTTATGAAAAATTGCGCCCAAACAAAACACTCTGAGTTGCACCCTGAATTATTCATTATCCAAATATGATAAAGGGATGGTCCTGGTCATATTTTGAAAGTTGTATTGTGACATTCCCTTCTTCTGACAGGTTTTACAAGCTTTGAGAAGGTTGAAGGGAACCTCAATTGGGAAGAAGGAGAAAATGTCAGCTGAGACACAACTTCTATTTGACCAGCTTACTGAAGATGCTAACAAGCTGCTGGATAGTGGTGAATATGGTAAAGTTCACACAATCAATTGTCATTGTCAGCAGATAGTTTAAGTTTCCTCGTAGAATTCGCTCTTCCAAAAAAAATTGTTGGTCATGGCAATCAGATACTTATTCAAATCTTTTCTATGCAGATGTTTACCATGATAAGCAGGAGATTTTTGAGCGCGAGGCAGGTTAGTTCATAAAAGTTTCCGATCTCTTTGAACATCCACATGTGGTAGCATGAGTTTCATGAGTCAATCATTAGAATGAGAGAATATGAAGGAGTGTTATCACTTTGAGATCCCAATTGAATGTAGTTAATCTCTTGAGTCCTTCCTGCTTCGTCACAGTTCTCAGCCTTGACTACCCTTTGGGTTCTTTCACCTGATCACATTTCATTAGTTCGGTCATTTATTTATCATGTGTTCGTAGCCTTCATTTTATTCTGAAGCCACCTTGTTTATGGCCGACACATTTTTTCAGCCTTTTTTCCCCTGTTAGGCAGTGGATGGTGCAGGCTTATGAGATCTGAAAGTATTGAGCCTATTTATTCTTTTCCTGGTGAACTTACATTTTCAAGATGTTACTTTGTAATGTATGTGATGGTGATGGAATTTGCAAATTTGCAGTAACTGCTGCTTATGGTTATTGTCTATTCCTTTTATCTTTTTTCAGAAGGATATGAGAAGTTAGCTTCTGCTAGAGGAAAAGACACATTGATAAATCGGGGACAAGCGGATCCTTACAACACAAGGACACACATGCTTTCTGATGTGGGAACTGTTGGAGCATCCTCTTCTATAGTGTCTAGTGCTGATGCTGGTACTTCAGGCCTTAATGGAAACGGTGTAGAAGCCTCTGATGATGGAGCTGATGCATATGACATGTTTGGAGATGAAGATGATAACACTACTGCTAATACATCTGCTTACACTGATGCTGTCGCTACTGGCTCTGTTGCTAATGGTGAGTGAATGTTACGGTGAAAGTGCTTCAGTGCACAATCTTTTTGCACTGACTTGAGTTTATGGTCCTGAGATCATTTTAACCCTAGGTTAGGTTTTTATTGTTTGATTGATTTGTATCTTGAAGCCATTCCTTAATTTCTGTTTCTGCACTCATGGTTTTTTGGTTGTTTGGTCTGCAGCTGGAGGTTTGCAGAGTGATTATGTTTATGATGAAACTTCTGGGTATGTACCTCTCCCTTTCTCCCTTACCTTAAAATTGGACTGGAAGATTCACAATGTCCATTTCCATTCCCATCTCTGAATATATTTCTTTCTATGCAATGTCTTAGGTTGAAACATGGTATCTAAACATTTATAGGTTTAGCTAGAGGTCTAAACTTCTACCTCCTGGATTTTGCATTATTATTAACATTTGTCTTCTACAAGTTGGAAGTAAATGAGATAAGATATGCTCTTCTTTCCGTTTATGTATTCCACGAGTCGAAATACTGATTCCTGGTTGTCATTCTTTCAGTTACTACTACAGCAGCAGCTTGGGTTATTATTATGACCCAAACACTGGGCTATACTGCTCTGCGACATCGGGGCTATGGTAATGAATCTTCACGAGTATTGACCTACTTACAAGTTACAACACAGATATTGATGTAGCCATCCCGAATATGTAGTATTAAGGCTATAATGTGTGAGTAATTTGCTATATACCTGTATGATGTTCTTAGAAAAGATGCAGTAGAGGAGTTAATAGAAGTGATTGTATTATTGTACATCTTCTACCGCATTACTGATCATCATTTTTACCTATATGCTTAGGTACTCCTTCAATGAGGAAACCAGCACCTATGACCTAGTCAGCGAGACCGCGCCAAATGCTTCTTGACGAAAGAGTATTATTAAATGTGTACAACTAAATGGATCCTACTGATGTGGAAAAATATGCTAGACGACCTCAATTGTGTGAAAATTTTGAATTAGATCGTGCTACTCTGAAATTAGGCGGTGTTTTTTCGTAGTAGTCGTCCTTGGGGTTGGTTTGCTTTTGGACATGCTTCGTTTGCTCGGCTTTTCTTCTTCGGACACGTTTGGCATGGTTAATATTAGAGGAGCCTGTACAGGTAAAAATGTATGACGGAAAATGGTGTGCTATGTGAACATGATATGAACTGGTCATGTGTGCAACTGTTTGCTGTCGAGAGAAGAGAAATAAATAGGTTTTAGCTGATGCTGGGTTTTGTATCCTACCTGGTAGGTGTAGGTAAGTTTTAACTTGTGTAAGATCAAAATAGCTTTTCCCATCTATATTGGAGTGGACAAAAGAGCTCCAGTTTTATGTCAGAATCAACAACGGAAGTCAACAAAAGAGACGACGAAATACAACAATTCTCTAAATTTCAACTTTCTATTAGCTATCCACTTGAAGAATGTGATTCTCTTCCACCAAGAGTCTGGATTATTGCTTCCAAAAGTTTAATGTCATTATCACGCTTCGCAATCTCCTCCTGCTTTGCTCGCAACTCTTCCATGTGTAGTTGAAATACCTCTACAACCATCATTAAAATAATCATCATCAAACCTCATTCTTCAGTACAAGACATTGCTACCAGAAGATCATTCCAAGTAACTTAGCCAATTGAAAAAGAAACAATGAACCAGAAGATAATTTCAAGTAACTTAGCCAATTGACAAAAGAAACAATGCTTCATCAAAATAATACTAGGCTGACTTACTTGTAGTGTTTTCAAGTTCTTTGGTGACTTCTTGTGCTCGTAATTCAGCAGCTTTCTGTGCTACCTCAGCTTGTCGTTTCTCTGCACGTGCACGGGCTGCAGCTGATATGGCTGCATCAAGTTCTCTCTCCAAAGTCTCTACCCTTTGATCCAGAACCTACACATATACACAGAGATGGTTAGTAATGCAATGAGCAATACTGCTATGGAGACATGGGCAACAAAAGCATTAGTCAAGAGTCATGTGGCTAATGCCGCAAGGGAGAGGGAACTGCATAAACACCAACAGAATGACAGCTGAAGTATGTTTGAGCATGGACACAAGTGTCTAAGTAACATCAGACATGATATAGTCTATACCAGGAGATCCCCATAAATGCAACTCTACAATTCCAAATCAAATCGCCATGAAACACATAGTTTAGCTTCTTCGAGGTCAGCAGCACGACAATGCCTTACTGAACCTCCTGCCTAGCCTTTCAAAAAAAATCTCCTCCCTATATCCAAGGAAGATAGATACCTGTTTTTCCTGGCCAAAACTGGTAAGACATAGTGACGGAAAATCTGAACCCATGTAGAAAATGCAAGATAAAGTTGCATTACAAGCCTCATGCAAGCAACCTAGCATCTCTCAAACAGGGTCAAGACGAGGTATGCTTCATTGATTGATATGCCTAATGCTACCAACAAGGATTCTAGAGCTCGCACGATGGTCCAACAATGTGAAAAACAAGTACCAAGAACTTGTCTTTGTAATGGCTGAAAAGGAACTCTAGATCCTACCAGCACCACAATGTCAATGATCTTCACAAAATAACTGATCGTGGAAGAAAAACAAGTACAAATCTGGTTAAACTCCATCAATGAGACGAATCCAAACTTGTGGGTTCAGAAATTCGCTTAATACGCACAACAGCTGTTCTGTGATTCAATGAGACTAACCATACAAATTACGGAAAAATTCAGAGACCCAGCAGAAGGAATCGGTCACAAGGAACATAACAGAACCCACAAACTGCTAAGAGCAGCTGAGCAATAGCAGGATTGCAGCTACATTTTCACTATGTTAATTGCGCAGCAAACAGAGCCCCAGATCATGCAAAATCGTGAACAAAAGAAGAAGGGAGAAAGTGCTGAAGATTTGAAGAGCGGTACCTTAATCGTACGGGCTTGTTCCGAGGTGAGTGAGGCTTTGGTGTATGTATCTTCATCAACGAAGACGGCCTTCTTAAGGAGTAACTTCTGGAGAGACTCCAAATTAGATGTCATCTCCGTCAGATTAACTATAGCTCCTTGCCATCGCTCCTCGCTCATCGCCTTCATATTTTCCTTCTCCTTGTCCTCCATTTGAAAATTCTCCTCCTCGAATCCGCTGATCAGGTAGCACTCAATTGAAGAGCCGAAAAGGCTAACTTGTGATACTGTGAGTCTGTGACGCAGAATCAGACACGAAATTGCAGACAAAGATATTCAAAGCGAGACGAAGATGATAAAAATGCTCCCAATTCAGTCTCTTCTCCCTTTGAAGACCGAACTATAACGATTAACGAACAGGTCTTCTCTCGATGGGAATGGTGAACGATTTATATTGGACCTTGCTGTCCGTTTTGTATTGTTTTGGGCTTCTTCGTAGTTCTCCTTTCTACCCACGTTGCATGCTGCTGGGTAGGGGTGGGAATCCAGTCCCGGTTTTCCGGTCAAACCGAAAACTGGGCAGTTAAAACCGTCCCGGTTGTAACCGGAAACCGGTTAGCATCCAATCTCGTCCAGTCTCCGGTCAGCCTGTTAGCCCACCCGGTCCAATCCGGTTAAAACCGGAAAACCGGATTAAAATCTTCAAGCAAGCCCAGCCCACAATCCAATCCCCAGGCCCACACTCGACAAAACCAGTCCGGCCCAGAGCCCAACCCTAAACCTAATCCTACTCCCTCTTGCTCTCACCCACGTTTCCATACCAGCCGCTCACTCCTCCCCTCTAATCTTCCTTGTCGAAAACCCACCCTGGAGACTGGAGTCGCCGCAATTGCCCACCACCTCCTCCTTCCCGACCACGACCACCACCGCCGTCGACCTCAACATCCAATCCTTCTCCTCCACCATCCCGTCCATCCTCCTTAAACACCCTCCATCACTCCTCTCCATTTCGCCCCATCCCCAGCCAGGGCCGCCGCCGCCGCAATCTCCTCCGCCATCAGCTCGTGCATGGAGGAAGAGGAGGCGCCGACCACGACTCGTCGCCTTTCCAGCCCCAATTCCCTCTCTGATCTATAAATCGTCATCTTCTCCTCTCTGCATGCCAAGGCAGATCTGGGCGACGGAGACGGCGATGCTCACAACGGAGGCCGAAGACAGATCGACATACCAAGTGAGCAACTTGCTTGCCTCATCAAAGAGAAGAAGAGGCAGATGGAAGAAACAAGAAAGAGAAAGAAGAACAGAGAGGAGAAGAAGTAGGTGGAAGAATGATTGGGAAAGAAAAAGAGAGAAGAGATTGAGATTGAGAAAATAGAGACGGTTCAGAAGTGGAAGAGGCAGAGACGACCCATCTTCTCAATTTCATTGTTTTTTTTTTTTTTTTTAATTTTTTTCAAACGCCAACGTTTTGGAAGGGATGACTGCCAATCTGGTTTCCGGTTTAAAACCGGATTGAACCCGGTCCGGTCACGGTTGAAACCGGGTGCCATCCAATCCCGTCTCCAGTTATGGTATTTGTCAAAACGGTCTTAAAAAACCGGGTCAATCCGGTCCGGTTTTGACCGGACCGGATCGTTTCCCACCCCTACTGCTGGGTATAAAAGGGTTTTTGGTCAGTCTCGGCAACCCTAAGGCAAAGATTGCAATTGTACTCTCCATCTTATAGTGAAACTTCATCATGAGAGCTCTGCTCTTCGTGGATTAGTCTCGGTTTTCCGGGGATACCACGTAAATTGAGTATCATCTATTTTTCGCGTTTAGATTATTTTACATGGTATCAGGGCAGTAAGATTCAACTATTAGGTTTTCTTCGTCATGGGAAGGAAAATGAGACTGTCGACGGCAAATCAAGCGCCTCTACCGACGATGAGGTTATTCCAATAAGTTTGCCTCTCTACCTACATCCATCCGAGAACCCAGCACAACTCTTTGGCAGTGATTTGATCAAGGATCTGAACTATGGTGAGTGAGTCAATGATCTCACCGAGACCCTCGTGGCCAAGAACAAAATGGTTTTCGTAGACGGCTCCTTGCCGCGCACCAAAGCGGGGACTCCTCGTCGTCGAGAGGCCTGGGATAGATGTGATGCCACCATTAAGGGTTGGTTGAAGACGACCATGATGCGCGAGGCAAGAAACAATGTCCATATGGGCACCACGGCGCGAGCTATTTGGGTCGACTTACAAAAGCGGTTCAGTCGCGGGTCTGCTCAGCGCGCATATGAGCTTTGTCGCATGATCAGCTCGCTTCGCAAGGACAAGCGGTCCGTTTCAGCCTTTTACACCAAGCTTCGTGGCTACTGGGATGAGATGGATGCGGTCGGTGGTGTGCCACATTGTGTGTGTAATGGCTGCACTTGTGGCGGCTGTAGCTGCGATTTGGTGGCGTAGAACCATGTGAAGCAAGAAACCGAACGCCTGCTCGAGTTTTTACTTGGGTTGGATGATGGCTACGCTATCGTTCGCTCTCAGATTCTTAGCACGAAACCCGTGCCAACTTTGAATGAAGCATATCAAATTGTTGCCGCTGAAGAGCAGCATTGTTTGCTCACTAATGGATGTCATCCTATCGTGGATACAGTTGCGTTCCAGGCGCAGACTGACAAAGGGAAGAAGGAGGAAATTGAAAAAACTCGGTGCATGACTCACTCCTACTGTCACTCTAGAAAATGGCCAAGTGTAACCACTTCCTAAAGCGTAGTATAGCGGGTTTGGGTTTTAATGTCAACCCGGGTCCTAGATGTGATGACTACTCAGTGAATTCGTATTATCTAGCAATGAAACTTTAGTGAAGATCTAAACTAACAAGCAAGCAACGCAACTAAACGGTTGTTTTCAGGTTAAGAGAGGTCACCCGGATATGGTTCCCCCTAGACTGCACTTAAGCCGAATTGTAATTACCAAGTTCAATTTCTATGATAGTTATACTGCGGAAGGTTCTCAAACAGTCTGAAGTCTCGACTAAAGGTCTTCAGACCCTCTCAATCTGAGTCTCTAGCGGGCGACTAACCTCCACCGGAGTAAACAGATTGAGGCCCTAACGAACCAAACCTCCACTACCGAATGGAATTCGGTACAGAATAGCGAATTGGCTCCTCGACTAAAGTCACCAATTCGCTACCTTCAATTAAGGATGCTCTATCAACCTAGGCAGATATTCTCATTCTAGGTTAAAGCAGAAACAACAGGAATTTGATCAGGATTCATGCCATTCAATCATTCAAACCTCAATCGAATATGATCAAATCATAGAAACAGTACTTGGGTTCATACAATCAATCCTAACATACAGATCTAGGGTTTCCCACACCCAGATGAATGGGAGAACTACTCCATGGAGAAAGAAGCAAAAGCAGAATCAGATGCAGAAACCATACTGTGAAGGATGGATTTCAGCTCCTGGACGTTGATCGGCACTCTTCCAAGCTCAAGCCAAGCTCCAATGGTGATGAAGATCAAGCTAGGGCATTTGGAGACTCTTGTTCGTCTCTTTCTCTCTCTAGGAATCGCTCTGTCTCTCTAAAACTCGAATCCCCCCTCTTTTGGCTGAAAATCTGCCTAAAAGGGCATCAATGGCCAAAGCACGGTCGAGGGCACAGCCGTGCTTTGCCTCAGCCCGCCCGTGCTTTGGCTAGGGTTAATTACACGGCCACAGAACACGACCGTGTTCTGAAGGCCTCCTGCCCGTGTTTTTACTGCCGAACCTGTTCCCCTATATTCAATGCTTCGTTTCTCCCTCGTTCGGACTCCGAATCAGTCGCCGTTTGATCCCAGACGCTCGTAGCTCGTCCTCTTTCTTTTCATTACAAGCTTGCACGATTCTTTGTCCATAAAGTGAGGTAGAAATCCATTCTTCTTCAGCTCATGCCAGAGTTTCTTCTCCCAAATCGCCAATTGATCTCTGATTGACTTGAAACTTGCGCCTATGCTTCACTTTATGTGCTAGGACCTGAAACGTAACAAAGGAACACAACCTAGCGTAAAATAGGCCAAAGAAGCGATAATGCAAGCTTAAACGATCAAGAAACAAAGGGGAAAAACATGTGCAAATATCGAGTCATCAAATCCCCCCACACTTAACCGTTTGCTTGTCCCCAAGCAAACCTAACTCAAACCAATGCAGCTCTCCATACCTCTACAGCAACAAACAACCCCGATCGTCGGTAGAGGACTTTCTAGATCATAAAGCAGCTTACGAGGTCAACTGGTCTTCTAAGACGTCCCCTATCTTTCTCAATGCGAGTACTAGACTCAAGCTAGGATCATGAGAAGAAGTAGAAGTACGACAGTCAGTTCATGGATAAAGGGACTCACACCATTCACAACCAAGGACTCGTTGTACCGGGGTGCTCTTTCACTTCATTTCACCGTTGGAACCCCTTTTTCACTTTCATTTTTCTTTTTTCTTTTCTTTTCATTCACTTGGCGGGGGTCCCAACTGCAGTCTTTTGCACGGTCGACCCTTATTAGTCGAGCAAGAGCAATTTCTGTACATTTGGCGCTTGCCAGAGTACTTCTTTTAACTCCTTTTCCTCAACTCGTGTGGAGGGTCAATGAAATTAAGGGGGGTCGGAAGCTCTATCCGTGCCCTTAAAAACACATCCTCGAGTAGGCAAACCGTTCAACGGGTGAAGATTTTACTTGTACTAGAGACAGCTTAGCTTCACCTTGTTGGAGTACCCCACTAAGGATCACTAAAATCTCTTCCAAAACCCGATTTTGTGCAATGAACGGTGCCACACACGTTGGGCTTACCCCATGCTTAAGATTTCAATGATTTCGACATGGGGGACCAACTGCTTTTCATTTCGCACATGAGCACCCTGTTCGATACACTAGTCATAACACAATCCAAACAGAGTCCACATTACCACATGAATTCAACGATCTTAGTTCCACTAATTCACAAAATCAACTGACACAGCAGAGAGCTAGATAGGAAAAATCTTATACTTCAACATCCTCCATAGTGCTACACTACCTCCCAAGGTTGCACATTACTATAGAGACTGTCAATTCAAAGCATACTGAGCAGGCAATTTGCAAGGAAACACGTACTTGGAGCCCTCAAATTTAAAAAATTTAGACAGTGGACTAGGCTCCAAGCACACAAACAGATCTAATGCAGTCAAAAGATAAACATCCCCCCACACTTAAGATCGACATTGTCCTCAATGGAGAAGAAGGAAGGGAAAGGGGGACGATGTTACCGTTAAACACGGGCTGCAGGGGACTGGAAGCGGACCAGTTGGAGTGAAGCGGACTGGAGAAAGACCAGTCTGGAACAAAGCACAGCTAAAGGGAAACAGAAGAGCTCAAACACAATATGTTAGGTCCAATGTCAGCCCAATAAGACATCATCCAAAACAAAAGAAAGCAAACCAAAACCAAACTG